TGGGGAAGAGCCATCAATCAGCCTGGGGGTGGATTCCTCCTCTCCTTCCTCCTCCTGGAACTCTCCTGGCTGTGGGGCCGGAGTAAGGAGCTCTTTGCTCCCAGATGGCATCACTGTGACTCTTTCAATCTGTGAAAAAGCAGAATTTTATCAGGCAACCAGTCACCCCTGATGCAGACCCAGATTTCAGATTTGTCTATCCTTGCCACCAGATGTCACTGGTGTCCTGGGGTTCAGTGCCTTGTGCCCAGCCATCTCCTTGGGAGAGCACATTTAGTTTTGCTAGGTGTTGTTTTTAATTAATTTTGTTCCTTAAATTCTAGAAATTATTTCCAATACCTTTCTTTGTTGTTGTTCTTCATACTCTTTCTTTTCTTTTAATATCTTATATTTGTTCATTGGGTAGGTTTAAAAAACTCATTTCCTTGTTTTCTAATAATACATAGCATTATGAGAATGAATTATTCTTGTGAATGATTCAGATTAATACAGAAGTGTGCAAAGTAAAATTCAAAAGTCCCACTTCTTTCTCCAGCCCTAATTCTACTCTCTAGAAGATAATACCTAATAAGAAATTGAGATATATTTTTCTCCTTTTAGTTCTTCGATTCCTAGATTCAAATATTTTCTTTCTCACTAACAATTTATATTTCCTCTGATGACATTTTACTAAAAACATTCTTTCCTCTAAAATAAAATGTATAGTGACAAGAAAGCTATATGATTTGATTGTGATATGCTGTTTCTCACATTCCTTATATTATTTTAATAACAGATACTGCAAACAACATTATTATATTAAACTTGAACTTTCTTAGATCTTTGACAATTGTCATCATGTATAAAATTGCAAAAATATTTAGATTTTGTTCACATTACACTTGCTTTATTTACTTCCTTCTTTACTGGAATATTTTATGCAATGAATTCTTGCAGGTAAGAATAGTGTTTGTTTTATCCATTCCTCTGTTGAAGGATGCCTAGGTTGAACTGCTATAAACATTGATGTGGCTGATCCATTATAGTATGCTGATTTTAAGTCCTTTGGGTATAAACCTAGGAGTAGGATAACTGGGTCAAATGGTGATTCCATTCTGTTACCTGAGGAATCTCTATACTGCTTTTCACAGTGGTTGCACCAATTTGCAGTTCCTCTAGCAATGCATGAGTGAACCTTTCTCCCCACATCCTCACCATTTATTTATTATTTATTATTTATTGTTAGTTGTTATTCTTTATAACTGCCATTCTAACTGGAATTAAAGAGAATTGCAGTGTAGTTCTAATTTGCACTTCTCTAATTATTGTAGATGTTATATTTTTATATATTTTTAATATATTGTAGACGTTTTATTTTTATATATTTTTGACCATTCATATTTCTTCTTCTGTGAAGTGTTTGTTCAGTCTTTTGCCCATTTATTGATTGGGTTGTTTATTTTTCTGGTGTTAAGTTTTTAGCAGCTCAACTCACAATAGCCAAGCTAAGGAAACAACTTGGATGTCCTTCAATGGATCAATGAACAAAGAAAATGTGGTACATATACCTGATGGAATATTACTCAGCCATAAAGAAGAATGAAATTATGGCATTTGCTAGTAAATGGATGGAACTGGGGAATATCATGCTAAGTGAAATAAGTCAAGCCCTTAAAACCAAAGGCAGAATTTTTTCTCTGATTTCTCAATGCTAACCCAAAACAGGGGAAGTTGGGGAGGGGAATAATAGAAATAGATTGAACTGGACAGTGGGTAACAGAGGGAGAGGAGAGAGGAGGGGAATAGGAAGGACAGTAGAATTAATTGGTCATAACTTTCCTAACATTGTATTTGTATACACGGCAGGGGTATATATATACATTATGTATGACTACAAGCGTGGGAACCTAATAGAGTAAGTTATGCTTTATTTATGTATATGCTGCCAAAATACATTCTACTCTCAAGGATAATTAAAAAAAAGAATAGTGTTTGTATTGAGAATAAATCTTCACTTCCAGCAACACACACTTATCTTTTTTTTTTTTTTAGATAGAGTGAGAGAGGAGAGAGAGAGAGAGAGAGAGAATTTTTAATATTTTTATTTTTTTAGTTCTCGGCGGACACAACATCTTTGTTGGTATGTGGTGCTGAGGATCGAACCCGGGTCACACGCATACCAGGCGAGCGCGTTACCGCTTGAGCCACATCCCTAGCCCCACACACTTATCTTGATGTCTATTCCTTTGGCTTCTTAATACAAGTCTTCCACTAGGAGGAGGTTGTAAACATGGGCAAATCTAATACTTTTAAAGAAACACTAAACATCCTTTTGTGCTCTCATAGAATCTATTTCAGCTTTCCCTACCCTGTATTGTAATGGTTCCACCAGTTTTATGATATCTGAGTCTCTAACTGGCAAACTCTTGAGGTGTCTTTATTCTTTGTACCTATAGGCTGTAGCATGATAGGCAATCAACAAGCACTTACTGAGGTATATTTTTCTAAAGAATTTTATTTTTTTTAAGAGAGAGTGAGAGAGGAGAGAGAGAGATAGAGAGAATATTTAATATTTATTTTTAGTTCTCGGCGGACACAACATCTTTGTTTGTATGTGGTGCTGAGGATTGAACCCGGGCTGCACGCATGCCAGGCGAGCGTGCTACCGCTTGAGCCACATCCCCAGCCCTCTAAAGAATTTCTTATCCAAGATATATTTAATTCAAAGCTCTATGCTTAACTTTAGAGATTTTGCTGAGAAAAAGCAATAAATGTGTGAATGGTTACTTTTAAACATTTAAAGCACAAAATCAAACCAAAAGCAGACTATGCTGTATTTGATACTTTGGACACCATAAATGAAGATAGTCTAAAACTTGGCCAAAAATCTCCAGCTGAGAAGACTGGGCGCTTCTCCTTAAACAGAGACACATGGTTTCCATCAGCAGGGTCAGGATGAGGCATATTCAGAAGGAATGGATTTGCAGAGAGACCAAAAGGAGGCTCCAGCAAGGGCGGAAATTGAGACAGATGTTTGAAGGAGTGGAGGCAGCCTAAAGGGAGAAGCACATTCCAGACACCTTGCCTTGAATCTTTAACTTTGTAGGGAAAAACGTTTGCACATACTTTCTACAGATAATTGTTTTTCCACTGATTTGATGGGAAGCTGTAAGATCTCATTTGTCATCCAACATAATGAGGCTACACAGCTTTTGTGTTTATCAGAAACTGTTCTGTTCATGCTTGCTTGAAAATAAAGTGAACCTTTAAAACCAAGGAAAAAGAATGTGTTTTCAGTTCGGCAAAATTGCAGAACTGTAACCCCATTGTACTGTGCCCAGAGAGTCTTTTGCTTTGCAGAAACATTTATTCTTACTATGAAATAGAAGTTATTTGGGCTTCTGCCTTTTCCCCTTTTAACAATCTTCATACTATGACATGAGTTGTGAAGCAATGAAAGCAAATCAGGCCAAGGAATCATGGCCACCTGTCTGTCCATGTGGCATATTTTTATGCTTACACTGTTTTATGCAGACACCTAAATCTGAACACAAAACAAATGACCATAAAACATCTCCACCCTTTTTTTCTGAAGCTACAATTGTAAATTCTCAAATATATGTAGAATTAACCCTCTTATATAAATTATCATGATTGGTTGAGCTTTTCCTTATCTTCTTTTCTTTACCTCTTTATTTTATTCTGAATTGCTTCAATGCAATTGACTTTTTAATCTGTCCATTATATTTCTCTGAACTTTAGAAATACCATACAAAAAGGTTCTTACTACATATGACTTTAATATGCACCTGTAAATTAGACTTGGTATCCTCAAGGTATGTTTGATTTGTTTGTGGTTTGCAGCAAATTGTTGTATTCCTAGTTTCTTATTTACCAGGCTTTAGAAACGTAATTCATGTCATGGGGTAGAATGTTTAGGAGCACATTATGTGTTCATGAAATAAGAAACTTATAGCCCAGAGAGAGTGACCTGGGCAAAGTGAGATCTCAGCAAATATAAGCCTAGTGAACTAATTGCCAAGAAAAGAAGTCCTCAGTCTCCCCACGCCCCCCACATCACCCACCTCCAGCTTTTGTACCATGCACAGCTGGGACTCCACATAGGTAGTCCAACACCTCAGATCAATCTTCAGTAAAGGAAGCTGAAAAGACCCTGAAGTGTCTTAGACTGCATTTCTGTCCTCTAAAGAAACAAACTTTTCCATAGAAAATAATCCAGTTACATTTCTTGTGTCATATTCTACCACAATTTGTATCAGCAATATTTATGTTCTTACCAATATTACTGAAAAGTATTTAAGAATTTCATTTTTTAAATAATCAATGTTTTCTGTAGAAGAATCCCTATAAAAGTACTCAGCACCATTTGTGACAATAATATTTAGAATTACTTTAGTTTAAAAATAACTTGATTGGCTCCATTTATCCCTCAGCAAAAATCATGTCTAAATCATCCACATAATCCCATCACTACCAATAAGCCTACTTAATTTATTTGTCTTAATTTTAGAATGAAACTATGCAAAACTAACACATGCAGTAATAGCACCTCGTCCTGACTGCTTTGTTCACGAAAGTCCCTGCAACATAGACTTCCTGTTGGACCAAAGCCCTATATTGACAATCACAGCTTGTGCCATTCAGTATTGTGTTTGAATTAATAAAACTCAATGTGGCTTATTTTATTGATTTTTTTCATCTCAGCTGCTAATGTGCAGCGCTACCTCAGTGCCCAGTGAGGATCTCAGTGAAATGCAATATGTATGTATGATAAAAAATACTAAGAAGGAATTCAAGTTAGCCAATTTGATTCCTACAATTATGAATATATAAGTGAATTTGTACATTATGGAAAGTTTGCCTGTCTTTATAATTATCTAATCAACCAGACAATATCTATGGAAAGCTCTATGCCTAAGTAACTACCAATTACCCATGTTACTTGTTGTTACTATTTTCTAAATGCTAATAGCATTATTCTTCTTCACCTCATTTGCCAGTATCACCATAATCTAAATTACCACCTTTCTTGCCTGGAATGCAGCAACAGTGACTTCCACCAAGGTAGGATATTCTTCCATGTACATTGAGAATGTAGCTGTATAAAGACAAAACTGACCATGTCAACCCCACTGCAAATTGTTCAGTGCCTTTTTATTTTTCTTAATAATCACAAGTGACAATGACCTTGCATAACCACTATCACATCTTGGTTCAGAGGAAGGATACAGACTAAGTAAATTTGAATCTAGCCTAATCTCTGAGATGTTGGGAAAATTACTTTACATCCTTGTTTTCATCAACAGAATATATTGAAGTCATGATAGTTTTGAGGGGAGACCTCTTGAAACATTGCAAATTTCCATTTGCTTTCTTCCCATTTATCACAGAAATAAGGTAAAGCTGAATATTGGAAGGTGAGAAAAGGTGTGATAGAGAGAAAAGATATCCCAGAGGGCGATAACTCAGTCCATCAGGCCCTGAATCCACCCAGCAGCTGACTGCAGAAACATGAGTGAGCTTGGTGCAACCACAAAACCAGAAGCACAGAAGAGCCTGAATAGCTGAACTATAGAAATGGGAACTAAGTAATTATTTTAAGACAATAAAATTTAGAATTATTTGTTATACAGTAAAATTTAATTGTTAAAGAATCTATATATACATATATATGTATATGTATGAATATATAATATATATATATGTGATTATTTAATTAACATTTATCTCTCCAAGAAGGTAAATATGATATTTTTTTTCTATTTCATCATTAAATTCTCAGCTCTTAGTCCAATATACCTAGCAATTATAGACTTCCTGATAAGTATTGCCTTATCAGTACAGAAAATAATGTAATTTTTAATACGTTAAAAGGTTGCTTGCAATCAGAGTAAGAAAATATTATAACTAAAGGAACATGAAAGAGCAGGTGTGAAAATAGATTAGTTATGATTCAGGTGTCTCCACATTTGCCAATGAACCTTAATTGCAGGTACAAACATTGCATATGCAAATTAGAGGTGTACTTTGACTTCCTTTGATAAAATTAGTTTTCAATGCACTGTAGATCCAACAATATTGATTAGGTATATTGCATTTTTGAGGGAAAGATGGAACTATACATCTAGGATTAGAATCACTCCATTGTGCAACTGTAAGAGGCATCATTCATGAGGTTTTCTACATAAAGGATGTTCCCCTGGATTGGTACAATGGACTTGTATAATATGTCCTAAGGTAATGACCCCAACTTAGGACACCTTAGCACCTACTAACTCCATACCCCCATTAACAGTCTTTCCCTATGTTTCTCTTTGTTTTCTTCATATTCTCTTTGTCTCAACCATATTCCCATAATTTTGACTTTTTTAGTCATAAATGGTAAATATTCTTTTAATCTTTCCTTTGCTTGTACGTACAATTGGAAAACTAGACAATCCAGATAGCTCCTAAAGACAGAGAACATTAAATCATGTATACACCAAAATCTTGTTAATTCTTTGATATTTGTTGATTAATGAGGATATAATTGTTCCTATCAGAGTAGGAAATATACTGTATGTTTTAATGTAGATACACTTAAGATCAAGAATAGAGTCACCCCAACATCCCTAACCGAAGAATCTGAAGTTAATTTAAGTTGTTCTTATGATGGAAAATTGATCTCAGAGTTACACCATGAAAGGAAATGACCCTTGCCAGGCCCTTGGAAGCTATTTCTTAATGCTTGTCTCTAGGGCATTAGTGATGATAACACAGCTGAAGAAAGAAAAAGTAAACTGAAGAGAATGAAGCCTAGAAAAATTGGCTTATGGAAAAGTAGTTTGTTACTGTGGCCAGCACTGTCTGGAGGAAAGAAATATGAAATCTATTGAACATGAACAATATACTAAGGATATCGTCTCTGACACAGAGAAGAAAGGCTTCACTGAAATTCATTCTGTACTCAGCCAAGTAAAATTCTACTGAATAATCCAGCTTTTCATATCTCTTCATTCTGAGAACAAGTGAACATTGTCCTATTTGGGAAATGCCTATTCACATGATAAATTCACAAGTGGACTTTACTGTTTATATTTTATGATTAATATTATTCTTGGTTGTTACTATTCATAAACCTACAATCTTATCCAGTCACAATTGATTGTGTGCATAGAATTCAGTTGCTAAACCTGAAAGCTAAAAACCCTACCAAGGCCATGTAGCCCTGGAGTATGGTACACTAGGCACTTGGTTGTTCCCTGAAATTGAAAAGTATGATAAAAATATGTTTTAATGTTGACCCAGGATGATTACAAAATACAATCAGAATCTATAATGACTTTATCTTATTTTTAGGAGAAATGAATATTGTCTCAGAATGGAACTGCAACTTGGTTCAATGTGATGGGTGAGAGAATTCCATTCCATCTTAGAATTCAGCTAAATTACAGGTTCTGCTTTCTTTAAATCTAGGTTAGGTCATTTGGCTAGTTCTAACCAACTGAATGAAAGAGGAAATGATATGGCATATCTGGTACAAGTCAGTGAAGAGCAAATTTACTTTTTCTACATTACTTCCCTTCCCTAAATCTGTTGGTGAAAGATACCCTTAGACCATTGGACTTCAAGTGGACCATGAAATCTGAAGTTGAAGATCGTCAAGTTACACCATAAAAGGAGTTTAGATCTCTGAATGCCTACATGAAGCAAAGTAAAGCTGTTTTCTTTCCCTGGATAATCATGATTTAGAAAGATATAAAATTTTATTATAGTAAGTCACTGGTATCTTGTAGTTATTACAGGTGCTAATGTAACTTGTCTGAATATAGACACTTCTAATTTTTCTTTTCTTATCCAACTCCTATTTACATTGAAAGAATAATTTTTAATATTTTATGGGTTGAATTATGTAGTATATATCATTCACAGTAGAAAAAAACAAATGTACCTCTTTTTTCTATATCTTCTCTGATTTCTCATCTATAAGTACTGTTCTATGATACTAGCTATTTGGAGTAGTATTAACTGAAATACTATACCATAAAGTTGAAGTCACCATTATTTTAACTCAGTTCTTAAATCTTATCATTTATGATTAATATTATTCTTAAGTTAAAATTAGTGAAGTTATAAAGTAAATGTCTGCAAGTTGAATATAAAAATTAGTTAATAGATTTTGTTTACATCAAATAGAATAAAATCATTATAATATTTGATGCTGACTTCCTAGCATTATCATGTATTTAGGACACACAAATGATTTCTTTTTAGTTTTTTCTTCAATCTATCTTAATTTATGGATATTCTTCATAAATTTGTAAATATAAAATGTAATACTTCTTTGTATTAAATGTGGTGTTTGAGTGAAAAATTCAATTCAGAAATAATAGCTCACTTAAAGGTTTCATTTACTCATATCCTCTAATTTTGATCTCTTTGGGACCTCAGTATTGTGTGTGTGTGTGTGTGTGTGTGTGTGTGTGTGTGTTTCTTATTCCTTTTCATTGCTGTCAGAAAATGGCAATATTCCATTTTTAATTGCCCAGAACATTTTCAACTTCACTTTAATCCCAGATTTTTCAACACTCCATTCACCATCATCTCTTTAGGCTCTAGAAATTTAAAATGTTACTAATATCTTAGTTTTCTCAAATTATATTATCTATTTCTAATTGAATGTCTCCAAAGAATATCAGTAGGGCACTTTGGCAAATGCTTTAGAAAAATTATCTAATAGTAGAGGTAGATCATATTCCCTTGTCCCCTTACTGCCCTTGTTCCTCAAGTAAGGATGCCAAAAGGACAATTTAGACAATTTATTGTAGGCTAAAATCAGTAACCTCATTAAGATAGGGGTAAAGGAAGGAGTCAGTCACAGTAATTAAAAACAAAAAGTTGGACTGAAAAACCAATGTATTTGGAAATTTCCAAACTTCAACTCTTATTTCTGATGGTGTAATTTAAAAACATTTTAAGTTTCAATCTTTCCAACTCTAACACAAAGCAAATTGTTCCTCCTGACATAGCCTTTACTGAGGCACAACGTATAACAGAACAAAGAAGGTACTCTAGATAATAATCAGTCCTATGATACCATGAGGCAAAAGAAGGATTATTTTACAAAGGGATCAGAATCTCCTCATTTATTGACTATTAGAAATTTTTGCAGTCGTTAGCATGAAAGAAATCACCCTACCAATGAATGAAGATTGCTGAATAGTGATTTATTGGCCTTGACAACATTAGCCTCTGAGACCTTCCATTTTTCTTTTTGGTACCTAAATTTACTAATCCCTTTATTCTCTATTTTCTCTATATATTTGTTTCAGATTCAATGTAGTTATACTGGAAGATATTTTTTTTAAATATCCTTAATGCATTAGCCTTGATTTGTTTTCAGTTTATGTCTTTAATCAGAGTTTTATATCATAACTCCAAGGAGAATACATTTGAAAGGATTCATCTACCCTTCTTACTACCTTTTAGATGCATGTTCCTTGTTTTTATTTTGTTGGGTTTTTGTTGTTTTGTTTTGTTTTGTGTTTGTGTGTGAAATGTGTCAAGGAATGGAGTATATACTATATATTTGCATGAATACCTTTTAACTCTTTATAACCCACCTTGAACATTAAAAGGGAGATTAGTATGATAGCACTGTTATTTTCTTTTTTGGTTCACCCTTCTGCATCTCTCATTGGCCATCTTGATATTACAATCCAAAAATTATACAACTTGAGAGATAAAAACCATCACCAAGCAATAATTTTTTGAGTTATTTCAATACCTTTGTAAAGATGTGAATCTTAAACAACACAGGATAAGTCTCACTGTCTTTAGGAAACTCAAGGCAAGATTTACTAGAACTTGCCCTAGGGATGTAAGAAGAAGAATTTGGTGAATAAGGCAGATTCAATGGAAATTGCTCAGATTAATGGAGGACTAGGCAGGAAAATGGTAGTCCAATCCTGGACTAGAAATTAGACCAATGAGAAAATACATAGAAGAAGAATTATCTTACTTAGGGATATAAGAATTTCCTATTTTTTAATAACAAAACTTTTGGCATATTCTCAACTATACTTTCTCTAGAGAAGGTGCCACAAGACAACATCTAAAGGACTTTATTAGAAGAACAAAGGTGTTGGCCAAGAACACAAGAGAAAATGAAAGAAAGGAAGGCTCCTACCTTGCAAACAGTACTAGAAAAGTAAATGTCTGAATTAAGATGCATCTTAGGAATTTGTAAAAGTCCAGTTAAGTGACACTAAAAGAACAACTGTAGGAAATCAAACACAAACCTGGGTCTCATCCAGAAATATTCTGGTTTCAGTGTTCTGGGATGTGGATTAGGCCTTCATATTCCTAAATGCTCTAAAAGTGATTCAAATATGTAGCCAAGGAAGAGAATAATTACAACAGAGAAGTGACTTATTCTACAGAATAGGATGGGGGGGGGGTAGAAATGCTAATTAAATGTTGGGACATAGAAATTCTTAGAAAAGACTTGATGAGAATGTGGTAGAGGGTTGTTTTTCATTGTTCTCCCCAAGGCACTGGCTTTAGAAATACCAACAGCATCTTTATTCAGGAATCTACTGAGGTTGAATCCCTAGCTGAAAAAAAAAAGAAAAAGAAAACATGAAAAA